ATTTACATTTTATCAAAATATTAAATAGATTTATGCAGACATGGACAAGATTTTTCTGAATGTGGATAGAAAGGCAAAGGTTTAAGGAGCTAAAACAGTTCTGGAAAGAAAGTGGGATAAATCACTTTCCATATCATTACGACTTACTATGTTGCTACCATAAACAACAATGTGACACTGTATAAGGGACAGACAGAGTGGCCAAGGGAAGAAAATAGAGAAATAGACCTACACAAATAAGCCAAACTGATCTCGGACTATACGCAAGAGGAGTTCAATGGTGGGAAGACAGCCTTGCCAAAAATGGTGTTGGAACAACTGGACAGCCATAGGCAAAAAAATAAACCTTCACCTACATCTCATACATTATTTTTAAAAACACAAAATAGATCATGAACTTAAAAGCTTAAAACTACACAACTTTTACCAACACAAATGCACACACATGCTCACACATAATAGGTAAATCATTATCAGAATTGATACCAGCCACCACACCTGGCAAACTTAATAACAAAAGCACAATCCTTAAAAGAAAAATAGATAAGATCCTGTCAAGAGAAAAGACAAGCTGTGCATCAGGACTATAGAAAGCTAGCAACAGAAAGCCTTCTAGTGAAAGAATAGTTTTCTTATATTGACAGTGCTGGCTGTTATCAAACATGTGCATGAGACAGATTTGCAGAGAGCTACACACAAACGCAAACACAAACACATACACCCAAACAAATGAGCTCATTAAATACCCTCCTTGGATTGTATCAGTGTCAATCTCCAATTACTCTACTAACAGGAATATGTTATATTTATGCTTATTGAACACACAGCCATTAGCAAACACAGCATGGACCTCCCCATTCATTGTTTTCACACCTTTCTGTGAGTCTATATTTCTAATTTGATTTAAATTGTGTGTTATTTTGAGACAAGGTCTTTCTCTGTAGCTTCATGCTGGATTGAACTCACTATGTAGCCCAGGCTGTCTGTGAACTTGCAGCAATACTGTTTTTCAGTCTCCTGAGTGCTAGGATTACAGGCATGTGCCACCACACCCAGCACAAAACAGGAACTTAATAAATAATAAATGAAGGTTGCAATTTTTAACAATGAATGCCTACCCGCCGGTTTGTGAATGTAGAATAACATTCTTTGACTAGAACTGCTTTGATCATGTCTGGTTCCGTAATGGCCAGCACAGGCTGTTGACCATCATACAACCTGCATTTACAAAACAGAGATGATTAAACATAACAAACCAGATTCTACATCTGAAACTTTGCCAGGAATCTAGATTTTTGACCCTGATATTATATAATCTACATGCCTAGTAGTAAAATGCACAGCAACATTAGCTCCTAATTCAAGTTAGGGATTCTGACTATAGAAGACACTAGAGTTTTCACAAAATGTAAGATTATGTGGCTCAAGCAAGGAAGAGACAACACACAAAATACCTCTTCAAAGGGATCATAATTAGAAATAAAACTGGATCTGATTATGCAGTGTCTACGCGATATGAACATGAGTACTACCTATAAAATTCTCTGAAATGTTTTGTATGTTTACAATATTTCAATATCTGTGCTGGGGACATAGCTCCGTGATAGAGTGCCTGCCTAGTATACATAAAGCCCTAAATATAACCCCTAACAACACAAAAATTAAAAATAAAAACTCAATAGAGTATTTAAATGTCAAAAATACACTACATCAGTGAAAAAGTCAAATGATCCAGTGCTCAGGAGTACTAAATGTTCCAAGGGGAAATTGGGGTCAGAGCACTGGAGAGCCAGCACTCTCTGTTCTTGCCATTGGATCACATTGTCTTTAGGGGCCATGTCAAGTCAGTAGTCCCCTGGGGCCAGCAATGTGGTTCCTAAGGACTGATGAGACAGGACGAAGAGGTAGGGAGAGCCAAAGCTTTCCCGCACCTGCTTGTGGCCCAAAGCCCATGATTACATCTCCCACCGCTCTCCAAACCTCCAGCAGCTGCGAAAGGGAACAGCTGCTGCGGGTGGCCCAGATCTCCCTACAAAATCAAAAAGGATGTAGCCCACAGGGGAACATAGTGTTGTAAATGTATGCTACACTACTTTGCCAAAGCCAGAAAAATAAAGTAGACCATGAAATACCTGCCTACAGGTCTGTTAAAAAGTCTTGACTTGAAATCAAAAATAAAGAAAGCAAACAGAAAATCTCTACACTTACAGAAGTTTTAAAAGGCTCAGCAAAATTTCCCAATTTGTTTATCTATATCTCTCAGTCTATCTCTCAAAAGCACATATTAAATTTCAAACTGCTACAAGGATACAAGCATATAGGAGTTTGGGCTTTTAACTAAAAGGAATATGTGTGTGTGTCTGTGTGTGTGTGTCTGTGTGTGTGTATGGAAAGGAGATGCAATTATACACTTAAGAGCACACATTAGGAGGGGTGGAATCAGTACATTTTACACCATTAAAGAGAACCTAAAAAGGGACAGAAAGTAAAGGAAGGAGTCTCCGGGCGATCAAAGCATGGAGAAAAGGCAACACCCCAAGAGCTCCAGGCTAACACTGTCCTCGTCTACTGAGTGCCTCATTCTCACATGTGCACCCACTGGAAGTTTCTGGAATACTCACCCCCACATCTTTCCATACTTTTTATAGCATTCCATATCAAATTTCCATATACCCTGAGAAGAGAAAAAAATGAAAATCCATGATTGTTCTACATGTATGGCCCTATGACTAACTGGGGCACAGATGACTCAAAGCCCACGAAATCGAGCTTACTATCTCTCACTGAAGATAAAAAGAAGCTCATATTCACAGACATCTCAGAGGAAATATTGAGGGCCATAAAGCCATTCTTGAGTTTCTTAGAGCATTGAACATATTGAAAGAATTC